GATAACCCCCCTGGAATCGCACCCTGTGGATGGCCAGCTGCTCCTCCCGCTGGGACAGGACCCTGTGCTTGGCTCCCCGGGACGTGGGCCTCACATTCCCGACTCCTGCCGCCGGAATTCCGGCTCTCCCGTCCCCGGGGCCGTCCCGGGGCCGCTTCTTCCGCTCAGGAATCCTCTCGGGAGCGTTTGCCAGCAGGGCCACTCCTGGAAAAGGGGGGAAAACAGGGAAAAAAGGGCCGTAAATCCCTTGGGTTTTCCACACGGTCGGTGGCTGCAACTGGAGCAGGGAATTGAGGAGGGATTTCAGGGAGGAAAAGTAGGGGGAATGAGGGAACTGGGGAGGGATTTTAGGGACAAAAAAGTAGGGAGAATCAGGGAATTCAGGGAAAAAACCCAGGAGAATCCTCCTACAAAAAGCGTTTGGAGCCGATTCCTGCTGGCGTGCGATTCCAGGAGCAGAGAAATCCCTCTGTATCTGAATTCCTGTGGATTCCCAGCCCTGGCACTCTGGAAAACCCCGGGAGTCTGGGGCAATCCCGGGAATTCTCACCCACATCCGCGTGTTTCAGGGCCCCCACGTCGTTGGTGCCGTCCCCGCACATGAGGGTGGAGAAGCCGAGGCTCTTCAGGGTGGTGATCACGAATTCCTGGTGGGAAAAGGCCCAAACGTTGGGAATTCAGAGCTGGAAAGGGGCTCAGGGATCTTTAGGATCACGTGGGACATCCGGAGCCTCACACCCAGGCTCCTAAAAGCTCCAAAGTTTGGGAATTCTGAGCTGGAACAGGCTCAGGATTGTTCAGGGTGACAGCAGGGACACCCTGAGCATCATCCCTATACTCCAAAAGCTCTGGATTTTGGGAATTCAGAGCTGGAACAGGCTCAAGGCTCTTTAGGACAACAACAGGGACACCCTGAGCCTCCCTCACAGACTCCAGATTTTGGGAATTCCGAGCTGGAATGGGCTCAGGGCTCTCCAGGATCACAACGGGGACACCCTGCTTTTCCATCCACAGCCCCAAACGTTGGGAATTCCCCGGGATAACCCCTCCCACCCCCCTCACCTTCTGCTTGGGCACGACCCTGGCGAAGACGCGGATGTGCGGGATGAGCCGGAGCAGCCGCTCCCGGTTCCCGCTCCGGAGGTGCTCCAGGCCCTCCCCGGTCACGCACAGGTCGAAGGGCTCCGTCAGCTCCCGCTGGCATTCCGGGAACGCCGGGAGCACCACGGCCCCGTCCCGCGATTCCCACTGCCACGGGGAGCCTGCGGGAACAGGGAGCAGCCTTGGGATCAGCCGGAGCGGCAGGAGCGTCCCGCCCCTCCCAGGTCCCAGCGCTGGGAAAAGCGGGAATTCCCGGTTGTTTGGGGGTTGATTGGGTGGGGTTGGGTCTTTTTTTTTTGGGTGGGTTTTTGTGGTTTTTTTGGGTCTTATTTTGGGGGCTTTTGGTGGGTTTTTGGGCTTATTCTGGTGCGTTCGGGGTTTTTTTTAGTGTGGGGTTTTCTGTGGGTTTTGCCCCTATTTTGGTGTTATTTGGGCTTTATTTTGGAGATATTTGGGGCTCACTTCGGAATTAGTTTGGCCTTATATTGAAGATATTTTGGCCTGATTTTGGAGTTACTTTGAGCCTGATTTTGGAGTTATTCTGACCCTATTTTGGAGATATTTTGGCCAGATTTTGGAGTTATTTTGACCCTGTTTTGGAGCCATTTCGGCCCCTTCCCCCCGGCCCATCCCAAATCCCGTTCCAGGCACCTTTGGAAGCCGGAGGTTGCAGGATGAGGGTCTTTTCCTTCTGCAGGAAGTGCAGCTCCCTGGCCACGTGGCAGGCGGTCAGGGGGTTGTCCCCCGTGATCATCACCACCTGAGGGACAGGGCAGAGGGAATTCTGGGAATTCCAGAGGCACCAACAAAATTCCTGCCTGGAGCGGGTGCAGGTCCCAACCCCCCCGAGGTGCAGCCCCCCAGGGAAGGGCCTTGTCCCGTTATCCCACCCCAAAACCAACCCCACATCCACAGCATTTCCCTCTTTTCCCCCTTTTCCCTCACTCCAGGGGCTCCCAATCCCCTGGAAGTGGCACCTGGGACAGGTTCAGTGGTGCCCATGGAATGGTTGGGCTCCACGACCTCCCAGGGCTTTTCCCACCCGACCAGCCCCCTTTTCCCTGGAATTCTGCCCGTCCTCACGTGGTGGGAAGCGTTCTGGATCTCCCTGATGACGGATTTGGAGTCGGCTTTGAGGGGACACGAGACCACGATGAATCCCACAAACCTCAGGTCACATTCCAAGGTTTCCCTCTTCATCTCCCGCACCTGCCAAGGGAAGAACCGTTTGGAACACCTGGGAACAGCACCTGGCTTTTCCAACAGGTCATTCCCTGAAGTTAAACGACCCCCTGGGAACACCAGAGAACCCCTGGAATGGCTCCAGCTGCTCAAAAAGGGCTTTTCTTGGCACAAGAAGCTCCTCATTCCCAATTAAAACCAGGCTCTTGGCCAAGGAATTCCATGCCAAACCTCTCCAGGTGTTCCAAGGAAAGACCTGATCCTGCTTCATGAGCAGGAAACCGGGAATCCCGCAGGGAACAGGGATCCACAACACCCCAAAACTCACAGCTGGGGGGTGGTTTTCCCAGAAAATCCCGATTTTATCAGCAGATTTGGGTGCCCACATCCCCAAAAAAGTCCCTCTCTTCCCAGCCCTGCTGCCAGCAATCCCATTTCCCTGGATGTGAAGGCTGGGAAGGATCCAGGTACCTGCTGGTGGGTGAGGTGTCCCAGCTCCTTGTAGCCCAGGGCCAGGACCCGAGCGCCCTCGTGGGAGATCTCCCGGTGCACGGAGTGGTAGTTGCTGGGACACTGGGATAACTGGGAAAAAGGAGGGAAAAACACGGGATTCAGGGAGTTTCCGAGGGAATCCAGGAGCAGATTTGAGCTTTTTGTGGAAAAAGGGGGGAAAACAGGAGAAAAGAGACTCTGGGATTGTCACCTGTCCTTCCCACAAACCCTGGGACAAGTCCCTCATCCCGTCCTTCCCAAAAACTCTGGGATTAGTCACTCGCCCTTCCCACAAAATTTGGGACAAGTCCCCATCCTTTCCTTCCCACAAACTCTGGGATGATCCCCTGTCCATCCCACAGACTCTGGGATGAATCCCTGTCCATCTGACCCCCTGCCCATCCCATAGACTCTGGGATGATCCCCTGTCCATCTGATCCCCTGCCCATCCCACAGATTTTGGGATGATCCCCCGCCCACCCCAAACCCTCTGTTCCCACCCCCCTGTCCCTTCCCTTCCCCACCCAACCCTCCATCCCTCAGGAATTCCGACTCCAACCTCCTCTTCCCGCCCCTCCCTCGCCCCCCGCCCCGGTGGGGGTGGAATTCCGTGTGTTTTTCCCGGGAATGCCTCACCATGGGCCGCAGGGTCTCGGGCGCGCCCTTGACGGCGGCGACGAAGGCGAGCTGGGCGCCGGGGCCGCGCTCGTAGGAGGCCAGGACCGACATCCGCTTCAGGGCACTGGAGAAATGAAAGCGCTGGTGAATTTTCATCCCCGGAGTTTTTAGACTCCTTGGGAAAACTTTCTCATCTGGAAACAAAGAGATCGGGAAATCCTGAAAGGGGTTTTTTTTTTTGTGGAGGGGGGGGGAGGAAAAAAAAAGGGAATTATAAAAAAAAAAAACCCCAGGCAAAAATAAAAGGTCCCACCCCGGGGGGAAGGAGGGAGGGATCTGGGGGAGTTTGGGGGGAATTTGAGCAAAATTCAGGATAATTCTGGAATTCAGAGGAAATTGGGGGAATTCAGGTGGAACTCGGGGTAATTCAGGTGGAACTCAGGGGTAATTCATGTGGAATTCAAGACACTTTGGGGGGAATTCAGGATAATTCATGTGGAATTCAGGGCAGTTTGGGGGGAATTCAGGCGGGACTCAGGACAATTCAGGCAGAATTCAGATGGAATTCAGGTGAAATTCAGGGGAATTCAGGACAGTTCCAGTGGAATTCAGAGGGGATTCAGGGGAATTCGGGTGGAATTCGGGCAGAATTCAGGACAATTCAGATGGAATTCAGGGGAATTTGGGGGGAATTCAGGCAGAATTCAGATGGAATTCAGGTGGAATTCAGGGGGATTCAGTGGGATTGGGGTGGAATTCAGGCCATGGGATGTGTCCCTGCCCTTGGATGGGGATGATCCTTAAGGTCCCTTCCCAGCCAGCCCATCCCAGCCCCCCCGGGCTCGGATTTCCCTGGAATTGGGTTTACCTTTGGTCAGGGTCCAGTCCACGGCCAGGAGCATGGCCTTCTCCAGAGGGTCTCCCACCAGCGTCCCGTCCTCCAGCTGCACCAGGGAGTGGCAGGTGGCGATGGCCCGGTGGGTCTCCACGGGAATGTCGGACACGGGAGTCACCTCCTTCCCGTCCCTACGGAATAACGGGGCAACAGACCCGCTCTGGGACACCCTGGAACCATTCCCGGCTCGGAATTCCCGCTCCTGCCCAGTGGGGAGCGAAGGCCATGGGACAGTGGGGCTGGTTCAGTGGGAATTCGGGCCAAATCCCGGGATTTTAGCCAGTTCTGCCAAGGAAACTCGGGGAACTGGCACATCCAAGGGCAGATCCAAAGGATCTGGGAGGCTCCAAGTGCTGGGAATTCCGGCAGCAGGATGGGAAGGGCGGGATGGGCCGCAGGGAAGAGCTCGGCAGCCTCAGAATCCCCGGGAATTCCCAGCAGATCCCCGCTCCCCAAATCCCCAGGGATCTCCCCCTGCCCCGCCAGGATGTTCCCGAGGAATTCCCACGTGGAAATCCGGGAATGGGGGCTCCCAGGACCCACCTGAGCCCGGCCACCCCCCGCACCACCAGGTGGTCGCTGGTCAAGGTCCCGGTTTTGTCGAAGCAACAAACTTGGACTTTCCCAGCGAAGGGGATCCGGAAAGGCTCCGTGCAGTAAACATCTGGAGAGGGAAAACAGGGAATTTGGGTGGGAATCCAGCCCAAGGCTCCGTGCAGTGAACGTCTGGAGAGGGAAAACAGGGAATTTGGGTGGGAATCCATTCCCTCCCCGCCCTCCCAGCCAAGGACTCCTTCCCAAAATCCACCTCAATCCCCCTTTTCCAGGGGGAAGCCATTCCCTGTGTCCCATCCCTCCAGCCCTTCTCCCAAGCCCCTCTCCTGCTCTCCCAGAGCCCTGAAATGTGCTGGAAGCTCTCCCTGGGTCCCTCCCTGCTCCAGGGGAACATTCCCAGCTCTCCCAGCCTGTCCCCGGAGCACAATCCTGGAATGCTGGGGTGGGAATGTTGGGAGTGGGGACTCACAGAGCTTGGCCAGAGCGATGAGGGACGTGTTCCCTGCTCCAGGGGAACGTTCCCAGCTCTCCCAGCCTGTGCCTGGAGCACAATCCTGGAATGCTGGGGTGGGAATGTTGGGAGTGGGGACTCACAGAGTTTGGCCAGGGCGATGAGGGACGTGTTCCCTGCTCCAGGGGAACGTTCCCAGCTCTCCCAGCCTGTGCCTGGAGCACAATCCTGGAATGCTGGGGTGGGAATGTTGGGAGTGGGGACTCACAGAGCTTGGCCAGGGCGATGAGGGAGGTGTTCACGGCCAGGGAGAGCTCGATGGGCAGCTCCGGGGGCACCACGGACGTCAGGATCAGGGCACACTCCAGGAACAGCCGGTAGTGGTTCCGCCGCGGATCCTTCGTGCCTGCGGGATGGGGATGGATCAGCTGGGAATGGGATTGGATCCGATCGGGATGGGATGGGATCCACTTGGAACGGGATTGGATCCGCTCGGGATGGGATCAGATTGGCTCAGCTTGGAATGGGATCGGATCAGCTCAGCTTGGAATGGGATCAGATCGGCTCGGGATGGGATTGGATCGGCTCCACATCCCAGGGGAACAGGGAGCGGATCCCGCCTGGGAAGGATCCCGAGATCCAGGGTGGGCTCCTGAGGTGGAGCTCCAGAGAAGGTGGATCCAGGAGTAATTCCCTGGGATTGGCACCTGCCCTTCCCAAAAACTCCGGGAGAAGGCGCCTGTCCTTCCTGAAAACTCTGGGAAAAGTCCCTGTCCTGTCCTTCCTAAAAACTTTGGGAATGTCATTTGTCCTTCCCACAAACTTTGGGATTTGTCCTTCCCACAAACTCCAGGACTCCTCCTTCCCAAACCTTCAGGACAAGCCCCCCCCACACCTTCCCTGACCCTTTGGGAATTCCACCAGGACGGGGGACAATCCCAAGCCCTTGGGGAGCCTTCCCAGCGCATTCCCAGCACATTCCCAGTGCATTCCCACCCTCGATCCAGACGTAGGCGGCGGCGGCGATGGCGAAGACGAGGAGGAAGAGGATGAAGATGAAGGTCTCCAGGTTATTGGCCGTCACCCTCTTCACTCCAAACAGGATCGTCCGGAGCAGCTTTCCCTGGGAACGAGAGCCTTCAGTGCCAGGGCTTCGAAGGGATCCCACAGAATTCCTTAAAAACCCTTCCTCTTCCCAACCTCACTCCAAACCAGTTCCTCTCCCAGCCGGACCCGGAATTCCCGTTCCCAGCTCACCTGGGAGGTGTTGAATCCCGTCCTCAGGGCGTAGGCGACGCATCCGTTATCCACGGCTGCGGGAAGGGGGCAGGAAACCCGGAGTGAATCCCCCCAGGGTGACTCCAGCCCGGAGTGAATCCCCCCAGGGTCATTCCAGCCCAGAGTGAATCCCCCCAGGGTCACTCCAGCCTGGAGTGAATCCCCCCAGGGTCATTCCAGCCCGGAGTGAATCCCCCCAGGGTCATTCCAGGGTCATTCCAGCCCGGAGTGAATCCCCCCAGGGTCATTCCAGTCTGGAGTGAATCCCCCCAGGGTCACTCCAGGGTCCCTCCAGCCCGGGAGCACCCAGAGCTCCCCCCCCATCACCCCCCCAGGGGCTCATTTAGCTCCCCCCGCTCATTAACCAGGCCGTTAATTAGTGCCAGCAGCCCGCCCCCCCAATCCCAGCGGATCCCGCGGGAATTGCCGGCATTCCCGGCGGGAATGGGGCCGGGGACGCACGTTTGAGCCCCGAGGAGGCCTTTTGGGGCGGGATGTGCTGCACCACCCGCGTGCCCCCGAAGATGACGTGGAGCCGGGAGTCGCCCTCCATGTCCAGCACGTGCTCCGGGCTCAGGTCCTCCACCGGCTCCTGGAACAGGGAACACACAGGGAATGGGCCCTGGGATGAGCCCAGGGAAACGGGAATGGGCCCTGGGATGAGCCAGGGAAACGGGAATGGGGAATGGTGGCCCTGGGCCTGGGATGAGCCCAGGGAAACGGGAATGGGCCCTGGGATTGAAGCCCAGGGAAAACGGGAAAATGGGCCCCGGGATGAGCCCAGGGAAAAGGGAATGGGCCCTGGGATGAGCCCAGGGAACAAACAGGGAATGGGTCCTGGGATGAGCCAGGGAAATGGGAAGGGCCCTGGGATGAGCCCAGGGAAACAGGGAATGGGCCCTGGGATGAGCCCAGGGAAACAGGGAATGCCCAGGGCTGGATGCTGGGGGGGCACAGGAAGGGGACGGGATCGCACCGGGGAGGGAGGGGCTGGGGGGCTTCCTCTTCCCAAGGAATTCCATGGAATAATAATAACATTAATAATAAAAATAAATTTCATACTTCTTAAGTCTCCCACTGGCCCAAAAAGCAGGAAAAACGAGCGATTTTGCTGATTTTTGACTCTTTTCCCTGATAAATTTTGACTCTTTTCCCCGATTCCTGAGGGTTCTCCCCAATTCCTGTGGGTTCTCCCCAATTCCTGTGGGTTCTCCCCAATTCCTGAGGGTTCTCCCCAGTTCCTGAGGGTTCTCCCTGCCCTTTCTGTGGGTTCTCCCTAAGGGTTCTCCCAATTCAGTGGGTTCTCCCCTATTCCTGAGGGTTCTCCCCAATTCCTGTGGGTTCTCCCCTATTCCTGAGGGTTCTCCCCAATTCCTGTGGGTTCTCCCCAGTTCCTGAGGGTTCTCCCCTATTCCTGTGGGTTCTCCCCAATTCCTGTGGGTTCTCCCCAGTTCCTGAGGGTTCTCCCCAGCTCCTGTGGGTTCTCCCTGCCCTGTCCCATCCCCATCCCCATCCCACCTTCATCTGGGGCACGGACTCCCCGGTCAGCATTGCCTCGTCCACGATGCAGCGGCCCCGCAGCAGCAGAACATCACAGGGCACCAGATTGTCCTGGGGGGAACGGCCTGGCCCAAAAACACCCAAATCAGCCCCAAAAAAACCGGCAAAGAGCCCTCCCTGGGACCGTCTGCCACCTCGGGGAAAATCCCAGGGGAAAATCCATGGAAAAGCAATGAAAATCAAGGAAAAATCAATTCAAAAGCAATTAAAATCAATGAAAAATCATTCGAAAACCAATTACAATCAATGAGAAATCAATTAAAATAAATTAAAATCGATTAAATCCAATTAAAAATCAACTAAAAATCAGTGAAAAATGAATTGAAAATCAAATCAATTAAAAATTAATTCAAAAGCAAAACCAATGAAAAATCAATTAAAAATGAATTAAAATCAATGAAAAATCAACTGAAAATCAGCGAGAATCAATTAAAAATCAACTGAAAATCAATTAAAGTCAATTGAAAATCAATTAAAATCAATTGAAAAATCAACTTAAAAATCAGTTGAAAAATTAATTAAAACCAATTAAAAATCCTTTGGAAATGGGAATTGAGAGATTCCAGCCCAAGGATTTCCCTCCTGGCTCCTCGGAAAAGGGAATTTAAACCCAGACTCCAGGAGATCCCGCCCTGGAAATGGGAATTAAAGTCCCCCAGAGGCACCCGTGGGATGTTTCACCCCGACCCAACCCATCCCAGCCCCCGGGAATGCCGGGAACGCCCCGGATTCCTGGGAATGAGCCCCGGTACCGATGGACAGGATGTCCCCCGGGATGATCTCGTCGCTGGAGATCGGGCGCCACTTGCGGTTCCTGTACACCTGCAACGCCCCAAAAAGGGGTGTTTTAGCCACAGAAACGGGGGACCAGGAGGGAAATCCCCCACATTCCCGGATTCACCTGGATCATGTAGGGCTTGTTGCCCATCTTGCGGATCTCCGACATGTTCCGCAGCTGCTGCTGCACCAGCGAGGCCTCGAAGGCCACGAGCATGGACAGGGTGAAGACACTGTAGTACCAGTACTCGTCCAGGCACCACAGCCCCACGCAGAACACCTGGAACAGCCCAGGATTCCTTAAAATCTGGGATTCAGCTTGGCTCATTCGGGATCATTCCAGGGTTTCACTGGGGGGAACCGGAAAGGCAGGGAATCTCCCTCCCACAAACACCTGGGGGGTCAGGAACTGTCCCCACACCACAGTCCCACCCAGAACACCTGGAACAGCCCAGGATTCCTTAAAATCTGGGATTCAGCTTGGCTTAGTTGGGATAATTCCTGGGTTTCACTGGGGGAAACTGGAAAGGCAGGGAATCTCCCTCCCACAAACACCCGGGGGGTCAGGAGTAACCCCCACACCACAGCCCCACCCAGAACACCTGGAGGGACAGGAGTGATCCCAATCCAGCCCAGAATTCCTTAAAATCCAGGATTTATCTTTGCTTATCCAGGATAATTTCAGTATTTCATGAGGGAAATCTCCTTCCCAGAAACACCCAAGGGGTCAGGAACTGTTTGTCCCAAACCCATCCCAGAATTCCTTAAATTTTAGGAATCATCTGTGGGGACAGGAATGATCCCAATCCAGGCCAGAGTTCCTTAAATTCCAGGAATTATTGCTGTTTGTTCAGGATAATTTCACTGTTTCACTCTGGGAAGTTGGAAAGGCAAGAAATCTCCCTCCCAGAAACACCTGAAGGGTCAGGAATTGTTTGTCCCAATCCATGCCAGGATTCCTTAAATTCCAGGAATTTCTAGGGACTTGAAATGGGAATTTTAAGGAATCATCTTGTTTAAAGAATTCCAGAAAGCTGGAAAAACCCCAGGACAAAAGGGTCACTCCCAGGAATAAATCCATATCAAGGCCTAATCCAGCAGATATTCCTGATTCCTGGAATCTTCCCAGCTCATTCCTGGCTTTCAATCCATAAATGCTCCTGTTTTTTTAGCAGGAATAGGGAATTTCCCCCCCTTTCTGTCTCCACACTTTACCTGGAAGACGAAGAAGGGAGCTGTGGCTCTTTCCTTGAACAATTCCAAGAATTCTGGCACCACCATCTCAGCCCTGGGAAGGAAATCCAGGAAATCCATCCTTGTTTCCCTGAGCATTCCAAGATTTCAGCAAAATGCCATCCCAAAAAAAACCACTTCCAGAGGAAAATCTCCTGGTTTTTAATTACTCTGAGTCAATTCCTTCCTCTTCCCAATTTTATTCCTTTTTCTTCCCAATCCCTTTTCTTCCCCTTCCCAATCTACATTCCCAACGTTATTCCTTCCTCTCCCCAATCCTTATTTATTTCTCTTCCCAACCTTATTCCTCAAATCCAGCCGTTCTCTGTCCTAAAAGGAATCTGAAACAAACCCTGGGAATGACTAAAATTCCAGCTCCAGGACTAAAACTCCGGTTTGATCCCAGTTTTTCCTGCCAAACGGGGATATTTTGGCTCCCCCAAAAAAACCCCCCTGGAAAACTCACTTATTGGTGCCATATTTCTTCTCTGCTGCCCGGATTTCCTTGTCCTCCTGGTAGCCTCTGGAATTCTGGTAGTAGCTGAGGGGATATTCCACCGGGAAGGCCACGGGCAGGAACTGCCTCTTCCCGTTGGTTTCGTAGGAATACTTGATCTTCTGGAATTCGAAGGAAAGAGCCTCCTCCCCGTCCTCGCCCTGGGAAAGGGGGGAAAGGATAAAATAACGGAACATTGTCCAGGTACAAAATCATCCCACACAAACCTCCACCCCCGGGGATGATTCACCTCCGAGAGGGCAGAATTCCCAGATTCATTCCCAAAATCCCAACCTGGCCCTGCTGGTGGAAACACCCCCTCCAGTCGGACCCATCCCAGTTGATTTTTTGCTAATTAACGTGATTAAAACTGTAATTTTTGCTAATTAACGGGACTAAGAGGAATCCCGAGCCGGCGGCAGCTCCCGGAACTCCCGGAATTCCCGATCCCTGCAGATCCTCTCACCTGATCCCGGTGCAGCGGCACCAGCTCCACGGAGCCGTTGTTGGGGGTCGGCACCACTTTGGCCAAGGTGGCTTTTTTGGGACACGGCTCCTGGAAGGGGGGGGGAAAAAGGGAATTCCCATCCCGAGGTTTGTCCGGGAGCGCTGGTTGGGATCACACACATCCCAAAGAGAACGTTCCCAATCCCGAAATTCCCGCCTGGGCACCGAGGGAAGGGGTTCAGGGACACAAACAGGGAAAGGGGCACCTTAAAGGCATTTAATGCTTTTGCCTCTCGGATCCCAAATCCCCCCCAAAATCCCTCCCAAACCTCACATATCCTCAGTCCCAAATCCCCCCCCAAAACTCCCCTCAGACTCCAAATCCCCCCAAAATCCCTCTCAAACCCCACATATCCTCAGTCCCAAATCTTCCCCCAAATCCTCCTCAAAACCCCAAACTCCCCAGTCCCAAATACCCCAAAATCCCCCTCAGACCCCAAACTTCCCGCAGCGCCCCACAAATTTCGCCCCTCAGGCCCCTGCGCACCGGCCAACCCGCCCCCTTTCCACTCACACCCCGCAGCCCCGCCCCTCTCCCCCTCGCTTCACGGCGCTGACGCCAGGCTGAGCGGCGCACTGGCGCGTGCACGGACCATCAGATCCCGACCAGCGCCGTGAGCAAGCTGCAGCGCCGCGATGGCGGCCGACGCCAGCAGCGCCGCCTCGGGGGCCCCCCACCGCTCCTCCTCCTCCTGCTGCCCCCTGCGCCGCCCCAGCAGCGCGCGGCCCCCACAGCCACAGCCCACGCCGGTAGAGCCCGGCGGCGAATAGGGCATGGTACGGTGGCGGCGGGAGGAGGCGCGGCCGCCGCCGGTAAGAGCGTCACCGACGAGACCAGCTCGTCCTGAGGGGCCAGCCGCGGCCGCCGCCATTTTCCTCCGCCCGCTCGGCCTCGTCTCTTCCGCTTCGAGCCCCCCGCCCCCGAGCTTCCGCCGCGCGTTGCGCGGGGAGCGGTGCTGGCGGAAGCGCGGCGGCGGCGGCATGCGCGCTGGAGAAGTGCGGGCGGAGGCGGGTGGCGTCATGTGAGTGAGAGGGCGGCGGGGCGGGGCGGGAAGGGTCGCCTTCCGCGTGTCCCCCCCCGGGTGCTAACGGGATCCCCTGGTGCTAACGGGATCAAGCCGGGACCCTGCCGCCGTGGTGCCCGCCGGGTGGTCAACAGGACCTCCCGGGACCCCCCCGGTTGTCTAACGGAATCCCCGTGTCCCCCCTCCGGTGTTACGGGGACCACGGGACGCCGTGTGCCCCCCCCGGTGTTAACAGGACCGCTCCCCGGGACCGTCCCCCCGGTGTTAACGGAATCCCCGTGTCCCCCCTCGGTGTTAACGGGACCATCGGGACTCCCGGTGTCCTCCCCATTACTGACCTTCCCATTCCCGGTATTCCCGCAGGGAATTGGCCCTGGAGCTGACGGCCCGTCACTGCGGGGCGGAGCTGGAGCGCTACGGGCGCTGCGTGGCCGCGAGTCCCGAATCCTGGCAGAGGGATTGTCACCGGCTGCGGCTCGGGATCGCCCAGTGCGCCTCGGCACAGTCAGTGCGGGACTGGGAGGGACTGGGATTGTCACTGGACGGGCACCGGGAGGACTGGGATTGTCACTGGATGGGGCTTGGGATCGCCCAGCGCGCCTCGGCACAGTCAGTGCCGGACTGGGAGGGACTGGGAGGCACTGGGACTGTCCCTCCAGTGCCATCCCCGTCCCCCCGGTGCCATCCCGTGCCCCCTGACCATCCCCGCGCCCCCCCAGCCCCATCGTGCGACAGATCCGCCGGGACTGTGCCGAGCCCTTCGCGGCCTTCGAGCGCTGCCTGCGGGATCACCCCGGGAGCGCCGGGAGCTGCCACCCCCACGCCAACGCCTTCCTGCTCTGCGCCGACCAAGTGAAGCCCGGGGAGCCCTGAGGTGAGTCCCGAGGGAAGATCTGAGGTGACTCTGAGGTGAGGGGAGCCCTGAGGGAAGTCCTGAGGGGAGCCCTGAGGGGAGTCCTGAGGAGAGTCCTGAGGGGAGTCCTGAGATGAGTCCTGAGGTGGAACCTGAAGGGAGATCTGAGGGGAGCCCTGAGGGAGTCCTGAGGGGAGATCTGAGGTGACTCTGAGGTGATGGGAGCCGTGAGGGGAGATCTGAGGGGAGCCCTGAGGGGAATCCTGAGATGAGTCCTGAGGGGAGATCTGAAGTGAGCCCTGAGGGGAGATCTGAGGGGAGCCCTGAGGTAAATCCTGAGGGAAGTCCTGAGGGGAGTCCTGAGGGGAAGCACTGAGGTGAGGCCTGAGGGGAGATCTGAGGGGAGTCCTGAGGGGAGATCTGAGGGGAGCCCTGAGGGGAGTCCTGAGGGAAGATCTGAGATGACTCTCAGATGAGGGGAGCCCTGAGGGGAGATCTGATGGGAGTTGTGAGGGGAATCCTGAGATGAGTCCTGAGGGGAGCCCTGAGGGGAGATCTGAGGTGAGCCCTGAGTGAGCCCTGAGGTGGGACCTGAGGGGAGATCTGAGATGAGTCCTGAGGGGAGATCTGAGGGGAATCCTGAGGGGAGATCTGAGGTGGGACCTGAGGGGAGATCTGCGGGGAGGCCTGAGGGAAGTCCTGAGGGGAGCCCTGAGGTGGGACCTGAGGGGAGATCTGAGGGGAGTCTTGAGGGGAGCACTGAGGTGAGTCCTGAGGGGAGATCTGAGGTGGGACCTGAGGGGATTCCTGAGGGGAGTCCTGAGGGGAGCCCTGAGGTGAGGCCTGAGGGGAGATCTGAGGGGAGTCCTGAGGGGAGATCTGAGGTGATTCTGAGGGGAGTCCTGAGGTAAACCCTGAGGGGAACCCTGAGGGGAGCCCTGAGGGGAACCCTGAGGCGAGCCCCGGCACTCCCGGGAATGTTCCCACTGGATCGAGAGGCTCCTTCCTGCGGCTGGAACCCCCCCGAGGACACCCGGACACACAAATCCCACACAAATCCCCTCCTGCCTCAGGGAACAGGGGAGGGAGGATGCTGGGGAAGGATGTTTGGGATAAAAGTGGGATTGGAACCTCCCAAAATCCTCCCAGATCCGTGAAATCCCGCATAAATTTTTAGGGTCAGAAGGGACCTTAAATTCATCCTATTCCTGCTTTTTTTTGTGCTGTTTTCCCCCAGGGAATCCTTGGAATTCAGGTATGCCTCTGGGAATGGATGGAAAAGCCTTGGTGTCCTCTGGAATCTCCTTCCAATCCCGGATTTTCCCCCCTCTGGAAAAGGAAGTGCAGCTCTGCCCACGGGGATTCCTTGGATCTGCTTCCCTGGAGTGCAGGAACATTCCTGCGGGGAATTCCAGGTTTTATCCAAAAAAACAGATAAATAAATAAATTCCAGGTTCCAAAGCTCCGCGGGAACCTCAGGATGGGCTGGAAGGTGACCAAAAAAAATCCGCTTTTTCCCTGTTTTTCTTCCACCCAAACCCTTCCAAAAATCCGTTTGGGAATCAAACACAGTTATTTCCCTTTTTTCCCAAGAAAATCCACCCACTTCCCAAGATCCAAAACTCTGGAGTGGCTCTTCCCACTGCCCTTGGAAGCTCAGGGATATTTTGGGGCCATAAAAGTCAAATTGATCCATCTGAAAACTCCCAGTTTTTGAGGGATGGGATCCCCGGGTTCTCTCCTGCTTTGGGACGGCAGAGGGAGCCATTCCCACCGGGAAAAACAGGGATTTGGGAGCCTTGAGGTCTTTCCAGGAATTTCTGGCTGTAAACAGTGTGGGGGGGAAAAAATCCAAATATTCCTGAAAATATCCGTTAAAACTCGAGGAAAAGTGGGATAAAGCCCTGGGATTGTGGGATCCGTGTGGGAAAACTCCAGGATGCTGCCAGCGAGGTCAGAAATCCCTGGAAAAGCAGGAGTGGAGGTCTCCCAGAGAAAGGGTAATCCTGGGAATTCGAGCGGGTTTGGGGGGGAGGAGAAATGAGTTTTTGGGACTCGACTGGGGCTTCCCAGGAGATCTTTTTGGGGGAATTAAACTTGGCCAGGGATGTGTAGGGAGCAGGAATTCCCTCGGGAATTCTCAGGGAGAGGCTTTTCCTGACTTTCCAGCCCTGCTTGGGGGGCATTAAAAAAAACCCCTTGGCTTTGATCCCGATCCCAAGGGATCCACCCCATTCCTGGGATACATTGATCCTTATCCAGGTTCCAGCCAGGCCCAAGTCCAGCTGATTTTTGGGCCTCTCTGGAAATCTGTTCATCCCTAAAGTCTAAAAATACTCATCCCTAAAATCTGAATAAATCTATCCGTAAAAATTAAATGTGTTTATCCCTGAAATCTAAATTATTTATCCCTAAAATTAAAATATATCCATCCCTAAAACCTGAATCTGTTTATCCATAAAACCAAAGTCATCTGTCCCTAAAAATTCAATATATTGATCCCTAAAAATTAAATATCCTTTGTTCCCACGGATCCTTTTATGTCACTTTAATCCTTCAATTCCTTGTCTCCTGCCGTGATTCCCACCCCTAATTCCACGATTTTCCCCACTTTTCATTCCTCCCAACTCCAGTTTCCAGCCAAATCCCTGTTTTTCCTGGGAGTTAAACCACCTAAAAGCTGGGTTTTTTCCCAGATTTAACTTCCCAGCTCCTCCCAACCTCCCCGGGGAAATGAATTAACACATCCAAGGGCTCCCGAGCTCCCAAAAACCCCCCAAATCCCGGGATCAGCTCATTCCCTCCTTGTTTTCCCTTCTCTTCCCGGAGCTCCCCGGACACAAAACCCGCCTTTCCCTTCCCGGAGGAGCTTTTCCAAGCCCCAGAAGGGGGGATGACCCTCGATCCCGGGACGAGGGACCCGCCCGGAATCCGCTTTAATTCCTCAGCCGGAAAAATATCCTGGTTTTCCGCTCGGCTTCCCCCGGCTCCGGGGCCGTAAATCAGGGAGAGGGGGACGGAGCCACATTCCAGCCTTTGTTTTCCTTGGATCCCGGCCAGGGGGTTTCTCGGAGGGTGTTTTGCTGCCACTTCCAGAGGGGTTTGGGGTCACTTTTTATCCTCCCGGCCCGGGGGAGAGAGGGAGACACACCTGGGCATTCCAGAGGGGGGGAAGCGTTCCCAGGATCCCTTGGGAAGCCTTCCCAGCCAAGGGGGAGCACCTGGAACGGCTGGAAGTGTGTTTATCCCTAAAATCCAAGTGTGTTTATCCCTAAAATCCAAGTGTGTTTATCCATAAAAACTGAATGTGTTTATCCCTAAAATCTGAATGTGTTTGTCCCTAAAATCAAAATCGTTTATCCCTAAACTCGAAATTATTTATTATCCCCAAAATCCAAATGTTTTTATCCCTGAAATCTGAATCTGTTCATCCCTAAAATCTAAATCTGTTTATCCATAAAATCCCAGAGGAGTGTGGGATATTCCCAGTGCCTTTCCCAAGCTGTTTTCAGGGAGCTCAGGAAACAGGGAAACGAAGCCAAACCCGGGAATTCGGGAAGCTGCTTCCTGAACCCCCCGGGAAAGGAACCCCACCCTGGAATTCCCAGGGCAGGAAAATCCCACGTTCCCAGTTAAACTTGGCTTTTTTTGGGGGGTGGGGGGGGTTTATTTTCCAACGTACATGCAAAAGAGAATTCCCAAAACACCGGCACGGGATCACGGGGAGCACCCGGAGGGATTCGGGGAGGGGGATCTGGGGGGGGGGAACATCAAATTTCCACAATTTCACCGCGGATTCTCCCGAAATTCCATCGGAACCGAGTCCGTCCCGAGGGCAGGAGCCTCCCAAGGGAACACACGGATGGAGGAGCCGAATTCTGGGATTTGGGATGCTGGGAACTCTCCCGGTTCCATCCCAAACTCGCCTTTCCGGGCAAAACTGTGCCATAAATATCTGGGTTTTTTGGGAAAAGTCTCCCCCCTTCCCTCCCAAAAAACCAGTGTCCAGCTGTCTGGGAGTGCTGTCCGTGGATGGGAGGAGGCGGATCCCAGAAGTCCGGGATGATCCCAGAAGTCCGGGATGATCCCGGCACCGCCAACACGAGGAATTTTTAGTTCCAGGGAATTTCCCTCCGACAAAAAATCCGCCTTTTCCCTGGTTTTCGGTTCCTCCAGGAGGTTCCCACCTGGAAAAATCAGCGTGTGGAGGCTCAGGGACAAAAGCACCTCCAGGAATCCGTCGGCCAAATCCTCGGGATTGCCCCGCCCGATTCCCGACTCCGCAGAGCCCAAAGTAAGTCGTTATTCCCTTTCTTGGAATTCCTTTCCGGGAATATTTCCTCCTCGGAACGGTCGGAGAGCTGGGGGAGGTTTTCATCCTGGAGGATTTTATTCCTTCGGCTGGAACAGCTCCTGGGAAAACTTTTCCAGGAATTCCAACCGTCCTTGACGACGTCCTGGGGAGATCCCAGGTCGTTCCCGAAAAAAACTGGGCTAAAAGCCAGTGATGGAATCGTGGACAGAACCCGGGAGGGAAGAGATCCAGAGCCTTTCCAGCTGGATTAGGGCTTGGAGTTGTGCTGGGAATACCGGGAGACGGCTTGGGATGGGCACCGGGGGGGGAATCCCGAGGGATTCGGCCTCAAAATCCCAAATATCGGCGGATGTCGCCCCCAAATTCCCCATGCTGACGGATCCTGGCCCGAAATTCCTGGTCCTGATGGAAAATGCTGGAAGGTTCAGTCTGGATTTCGGGCAGGGATTGCAGCTCCTGATGGAAAATGCTGGAAAATGAGGGGAAATCCCAAATATTGATGGATTCTGGCCTGAAATTCCCGGTGCTGATAGAAAATGCTGGAAGATTCACTCAGGAGTCCAGCCTGGAATTCCCAGTCCCGACAGATTCCAGCCAGAAATTCCCTCACCCGAGAGAAAACGCCGGAGAATTCCCACTCGGGATAGAAAATGACGGGGAGATCCCCACCAGCTTCCAGCTGGGAACGCCGGGAAGGCCCATCCCGACGGAAAAGGCCGGGAGAGGTCGGCTCCGTCCGTCGGCTCCTCCGGGGAGGACAATCCCGAGGGGCTCAGCCCCGCCCCGGCCCCTCGCCCGGCCCGGAGGCGGGAGCAGCATTCCCGAGGTTCCTGGGAAGGGCTTTCCCGGGGTCAGGAGGTGAAGTAGGAGCTCTGCATGGAATACAGGCGGTCGATGGGATTCCCCAGCCGGGCCTGGAGCAGGCTGGGATCGGCCCCGGACAGGAGGCAGTCGCCCAGGGGGCCCAGGCTGTCGCTGTCCAGGTCATGGAAAACTCCCTCCGAGTCTGGGAAAGGCGGGACAAGGAAATTAAATCAGAGGCTCTTCCCGCCCTCCCATTCCCGAATATTCCCGTGGGATGGAGAGATCTTGGTGTCAACCCCTGGTCCTGGCACGGCTCTGCCCTCCTTCCCTTCCCAAATATTCCCAGTGGATCGGGAATTCCCTTCCCAAACCTTCTCCCCCATCCCATCCCATCCCATCCCATCCCATCCCATCCCATCCCATCCCATCCCATCCCATCCCATCCCATCCCATCCCTTCCCATCCCATCCCATCCCATCCCATCCCATCCCTATCCCTCTTCTCCCCCTGCCCAGGGCTCCTCCCCAGCTCCGTATCCCACTGGATCTCATATCCCAGTGGATCCTGGATCCCGTATCCCATTGTATCCCATTGTATCCCAGTGTATCCCTGTGTATCCCTGTGTATCCCACTGCGTCCCTGTGTATCCCTGTGCCCCCCGGTGTGTCCCGGCGTGTCCCGGCGCTCCCGGCGTTACCGTAGGGGTGCAGGTGTTCCGGGGGGAGCTGGGGGGGGGTCATTCCCGGCCGGAAGAGCTCCGGGCCTCAGCCCGTGTGCTCCAGGGGCAAGGAGCGGCTGCGGCGGGAGGCGGGAATACGGCGCCAGGAGCCCCTCGAGGCCGGGCACGCTCGCGGCGTCTGCGGGCACCCAACGGGGCAGCGTCGCCATGGGGAGGTCACCGGGGGATGTTGTGATAGTGATGTCGTGACAGTGATGTCATTATAGTGATATGATAATGATGTTGTGATAGTGACATCACCAGAGTGATGTCACCGTAGTGATGTCATGATAGTGATGTCACCATAGTGATGTCACCAGAGTGATGTCGTGATAGTGATGTCATGACAGTGATGTCATGATAGTGATGTCATGATAGTGATGTCACCAGAGTGATGTCACCAGAGTGATGTCACGATAGTGATGTCATGACAGTGCATTCCAGAGCCTAAAGGGGCTCCAGGAGAGCGGGAGAGGGACCTGGGAGAAGGGCTGGAGGGATGGGACACAGGGAATGGCTTCCCCCTGGAAAAGGGGGGATGGAGGTGGAATTGGGGAAGGAATCCTTGGCTGGGAGGGCGGGGAGGGAATGGGATGGAATTCCCGGAGGAGCTGCGGCTGCCCCATCCCGGGAAGTGTCCAAGGCCAGGCTGGAGCCGCCTGAGGCCTGGAAGGTGTCCCTGCCTTTGGAATTCGGTGGGATAATGGGATGATTTAAGGTCCCTTCCCACCCAAACCGCTCCCCAATTCCACAGAACGCATCCAAGCCGCTCCCTGCATCCCGGCTCTCCGCCCATTCCCAGTTTTCCCTCACCTTCACTGTCGTCGTTGCTCTGCCGGCTGCTCCTCCCGGTCCCTCTCCCGCCTCCCAGCCGGGCATTCCCGAGCTGCTCCTGCTCCTGCTGCTGCTGCTGCTGCGCAGATGCCTTTCGGGCGATCTCTTCATCTGGGAAAACACAAGGACACGCCGGGAATTCGAGCCCTCGGAGCTCCGGGGGGGGTTAAATCCCAGCCCTGGAACGGGATCCGCTCCCTCACCTTGGCCCGTTGGTTCTGGAACCACACCTGGACCACCCGCACGGTCAGTCCCGTCTCTGCCGCCAGCGTCTCCCTCACCTGGCCACGGAAAAGGGATAAATCGGGATTCAATCCCTCTGGGAAGGATCCCGGTGGCGGTTGGGCTCCAAGAAGAGCTCAGTTGGGATTAAATCCCGCCGGGAACGATCCAAACCAACAGCTGGGCTCCAGAACGAGCCGGGTGGGACTCGGATCCCGGCGGGAAGGATCCCGGCGGGAAGGATCCCGGCGGGGTTGGGGTGCCGGTACCTTCCTGCAGGGCTTGGAGGACACCTCGAAGGAGGCCTTGAAGGCGCGGCGCTGCTGGGTGGTCAGGATGGTGCGCGGCCGCTTGGAGCGCTTGTGGTCCTTGCCGTCCTCGCCACCTTTGCCGTGGGAGTGGGCGCCGTCCTCGTCCTCGCTTTTCACTGCCGGGGAAGGGCGGGATCAGGGAACCGGGACAGGGATCCATCCCTGGGAGTGCTCGGGGACGGCTGGGACGGGGCTTGGAGTTGGGAATTGGGACAGGGATCCATCCCTGGGAGTGCTCAGGGACGGCTGGGATGGGGCTGAGAGTCTGGAATTGGGACAGGGATCCATCCCTGGGAGTGCTCAGGGACGG